CCTGACTTTGAGGCCAGCCTGAGAGGGAGAGAATATGAATGAATAAGGAGGGAGAGGGAAGAAAATTTTTTAAATACCATACCCTTCAAAATGAATACTTAGATATAAATTTAACAAAATATGTTTAAGAACTACATGATAAAAATTACAAAACTCTGATCAAGGAAACCAAATGAGAATAAAAGAGATATACTCTATATTCATGGCTTAGAAGATTCAATGTTGTCAATATATCACTTCTTCTCAAGTGAGATCCCAATCAACATCCCAGCAAGTTCTTTTCTAGACACAAACAAACTGATTCTTAAATTAAACTGGAGAGGCAAAAGGGCCAGAATAGCCAACTGTAGGAGAGAAACAAATTTGGGAGTCTTAAACACTACGTGACAACAAGACTTACTATAAAGCTATTGGCATGTGGTATTGATAAAAGAAGAAACAACTGGATTAATGTAGAAGAAAAGAGCCCAGAAACAGACTCACATAAACACAGTCAATGATCTTTGAAAAGGGGACAAAACCAGTATGATGAAGAGACGATAATCTCTACAATAAATGGTGCTAGGACAATTAGCACAAATAAAAACAAACAAAAAAAATCAATCTAGATACAGTTGTTATATTCTTCACGAAAAATTAACTCAAATTGGCCCATAGAAGTCAATGTAAACACAAAGCTATAAAACTCATAGAAGATAACATAAAGAGAAAATCTAGTTGATCTTGGGTTTAGTGATGGCTTTTTTTTTTTTTTTTCTTTTTGCAGTACTGGGGTTTGAACTCAGGGCCTCACACTTACAAGCCAGGCACTCTACCACTTGAGCCACTCCACTTGTTCTGGTAATGGCTTTTTACATAGGACATCCATGATAGAAGTAATTGATAAGTTGGACTTCATTAAAATTTAAAATTTCTACTCTGAACTGAGCAATGGTGGCTCACACCCATAATCCTAGCTACTCAGAAGGCAGAGATCAGGAAGATCGTGGTTCAAAGCCACAAAAAAAAGGGCTAGTGGAGTGGCTCAAGATGTAGGCCCTAAATTCAAGCCCCAGTACCATAAATAAATTAATTAATTAATTAATTAAATTTCTACTCTGTGAATGACACTGACAAGAGAAATGACAAACCATACATAGGCTGAGACAAAATGCTTGTAAAATATATATATGATAAATACTGCTATTCAAAATATATGAAGAACTTACAACTCAACACTAAGAACAATGAACAACTCAATTTTTAAAAGATCCAAAAGATCTAAACATGGAAAAAAGATCTAAACAGACATTTTACCAAAGAAGAAATAGATAGGGCTAGGGGTGTAGCTCAGTGGTAGAGTGCTTGCCCACCACGCACTAGGACCTGGGTTTAATCAAGAGCATTTCAAGGAAAAAAAAAAAAAAAAGATACACAGATAACAAGCATATAAAAGTTGCTCCCTATATAAGTCATTAAGGAAATGCAAATTAAAAAAACAGTAAAATTTCACTATAAATCTATTAGAATAGCCAGAATCTAAATAACGAACAATACCACATGCTGGCAAAGAAATGGAGCAACTGGAACTAGAACACTCCTTCCTTGCAGTTGGGAATGCAAAATGCATTAGTTAGCTTTCCACTGCTGTGACAAATACCTAAGGGAGGACCACTTAAAAGGAAGTAAGATTTATTCTGGCTCACAGTTTTAGAAATATCAGTCCATGATTGGCCCAGCTGCCTTGGGGCCTATGGTAAGGAAGAATATTAGGGCAACAGAAAATGCTGCTCACTTCCTGGTGGCCAAGAAGCAGAGCAATAGAGGGATAGAGCAAAGGACAGGAAACAAGACATACCTGTCAAGGGCACACTCGCCATGATCCATTTCCTCCAACTGGGCCGACATCCTACAGTTTCCACCACCAGCCCCCAACAGTTCATTCCATTATGAATTCATGAATGGAACACTGATGAGGTCAAAGCCATAATGATCCAATCACTTCTCAAAAGCACATCAGCTGGCCACCAAGCCTTTAGGATATTGTCTTTGGGACACATTTTAGAAAGAAACCTCAACACAAAAATAACCATACCCTACCATACAACATAGTACTCATACTCCTTGATATTTATACAAAGAAGATTAAAACTTTGACCCACTGGACTGAGGATGAAGCTCAGTGGTAGAACAGTTGCTAGCATGTACAAGGTCCTGGGTTTGATCCACAAAACAAACCAAAATGGGGGAAAAAAAAAGTTAGGTCCACACAAAAATCTGACCCTAATGTTTACAGCACTTTTATTCACAAAATATGGATGTAAACAACATGTCCCTAAGCAAATGAGTGGACAAATAAGCTGAGGTACATCCACACAATGGAATAATATTCAGAATTACAAAGAACTATACTATGAAGCCATGGAAAGACAAGGAGACTAAAAGAAGCCAATCTGAAAGGGCTACACACTGCATGACTCTATAACATTCTGAAAAGTCAAAAAAAAGGACAGTAAAAACATCAGGGATGAAACTGGTGATTTTGAAGCAGTGAACTATTCTGTATGAAAGTATAACAGAGGATGCATGTCATTATACATCTGTCCAAATTCATAACATGTACAGCCTAATTATGCTGCATATTATATGCTGTGCAAATTATGGGCTTTGGGTAAAAACAGGTATAAACGTATGTTCATCAGTTATAACCAATTTACCACTCTGGTGGAGGATATTGATAGCAAAAGATGTTATGTGTATGTGGAGACAAGGACATATAAGAAATCTCTATACTTTCAATTTTGATGGGAACCTAACACTACTCCAAAAATAGTCTATTTAAGAAAAATAAAATAGTAATTTCAATATAAACTTAAAAATATGTAGGGGGAGATAGAAGGGGTATACATGATCAAAGTACACTATATAGAAATAAAAAGTAATGTATACCTACATATATTTACATACAAATACATGAATACTTCTTCCTTCATATATATATAAAATGATGTAGAATTTACTCAAATGAAATTCTTGTTAGCCACAGAAGTAGAAAGTCAACAGCCAAAATTTTAAAGCGTATTTATTGGACTTTATCATAAATTAATTGGTATTAGGTAAAACCTACACAGTAAGAGACAACCAGCTATGAGACTAATGTTAATAGAAGACACCACCACCAATGAACTAGTCTTGTTCTTCCTGACGCCTCAAAAATCTAGATCCAACCACAAATTCACAGGAAAAAAATCACCAAAATCCAGAATATGGAAAACGTTACAGGATAAAACTACTGGCTTATTTGACAAATAAAGTATAAGGGGAAAAAAGATGTTGGGATACATAGGATTTAAAAAAAACAAGCCAAGCCAGGGACCAGTGGTTCATTCCTGTAATCCTAGCTACTTGGGATGCTGAGATAGGGAAGATCACAGTTTAAGGCTAGTCTTGTCAAATAGTTCATGAGACCCCTATCTCCAAAATAACCGGAGATATGGCTGAAGTGGTAGAGTGCCTACTTTGCAAGCCCTGAAACCCTGAATCCAAACCCCAGCTCTACCCAAAATAAAAGATAAAACAGGTATGGTGGTATTCAACTGTCACAAGTTACATGTCAGGTTAGCTACATAGTAACACCCTGTTTCAAAACAAAGTAAAAAAGAACAACAACAAAAATTCAAAGTTTATGATAGCTATGAAACAAGTAGAAATTTTAACTCTGACTAGATATTCAAAATTACAAAATTATCTGAAAAAGAAGTTAAGGTATGATGATGCATTGTGATTGTGAATGAAAATTTTTTTCTTTTAGAAGTATATTAAATATTTTTATATAAAGTATTATGACAACTTAGATTTGCCTCAAAATAACAGGGAATGAAGGTAAGTAGACCAGAGCACAACTGACACGAAACTGGCCATTAGCTGATAACTGTTAAACCTGGGTAATGGATATATGAAGGTTTTTTTATGTTGTTCTTAGTATTTGTTTGAAATATTAAATACCATAATACAAAGCTGAAAGTAAAAAATTTGTATTAGTGAATCTCCTTAAAATAGACAATAAAATAGAGCAGAATTTCATTTCAAAAAAAAGCATTTAGCTGAAATACCTTCAATAATAACATAAATTCTCAAAAGTAATGTCTATTACCCCAGAAGTTTTTTGAACAGGATCTGACACCTCACTTCTCAGATATTCCTGAGAAGTGTGATGAAGTTTTTCTTTTACCCAGGAACTTGTACAATACATTCAATGATAGGTACTACAAAAATCTTTTAATAAATGCATTAATTCTTTTGTTATATTCTTATTCAAACATCTTCTACATAATGACTTCTACCACTTAAGTGAGGCATTGTGGCCCACACCTGTCACACTAGCTACTTGGAAAGACTGAGATAGTAAGGACTGCTGTTCAAGGCCAGTCTGGCAACAAAAAGTTCATGAGACCCCAAATCAATGAGAAAAAGCTGGGCATGATGGCATCCACATGCATCCCAGCTATTGCAGTAAGAGGATTGCAGTCCAAGCAGGCCCAGCAAAAAGTAAGACCCTGTCTCCAAAATAACCATAGCAAACATGGCTTAAAGGCATGGCTCAAGCAGTAGAGTGCCTTGCTTCGTAAGTGTGCAGCCCTGAATTGAAAACTCCAGTACCGCCAACACACTCACACAAAAGGACAGTTACCTAGTGATGGTATGCAATCATATCTTAAATGAAAATTTAACATATAAAGGGCTGGAGGCATGACTCAAGTGGCAGAATGCCTGCCTAGCAAGTGCAAGACCCTGAGATCAAACTACAAAAAAAAAAAAAAAAAAAAAAAACAAGATTCTAAAATAAATGATTATGTAATAAACAATGACCAAAAACTAAGGTATTAGTAACTTTAAAAATAGTGCTTATATATCCTTTTGAGTTTTAAATCTGTAAATTTTTACATACTTTTAGGATAAACAAATGAAGTTAGAAGTTTTAAAACTTGTAGTAAAAAAAAAATGAATTCAGCAAGACTTACCTGGCAGAGGGAATTCCTTTCCTATAAAGATCCATTCTCAGTTTCTCTCCCACATGTCTATAGATCTCAACTATAGCCAATATTGCAGCATTTCTCACCTTCAAAGAATTCATAAATTTTAAAGAAAATTATATGAAAAAAAAAAAACACTTCACCTCAAGGTAACATTACACAAGCAAACCAAAGATGTAAGCTGGCTTTAAGGTCCCAAACCCCTACAGAAATTATGATATGTCATTAACAGAAAATGAAAACAATCTGCTAAGAAACCCCCTGGAAAAACCTAAAAAAAAAAAAAGGTTTTATAAAGTCAGGCACTGGTGGCTCATGACTGTAATCCTAGTGACTGAGGAGGCAGAGATCATGAGGATCTATCTCAGTTTGAAGCTAGACTGTGCAATTAGTTCACCAGACCCTATCTTGAAAACACTTAACACAAAAACAGATGGCAGAGTGGCTCAAGTGGTAGAGCGCCTGCCTAGCAAGTGTGAGCGCTGGTGGTATAGTGGAGAGCATAGCTGCCTTTCTAGCAAATGTGAAGCCCTGAGTTCAAACAACAGTACATATCCCCTCACCAAAACAAAAATGTTTTATAGAAATCTAAGAAACTTGTGAATACAAGGTATTAATTTGGCTCTCGAAAATTCTTTAATTGTTACTTGGGAGACCGAGATTGGGTAGGATCATGGTTTGAGGCCAAAAAGGGCAAACAAATTTGCACGGCTCCATCTCAACCACGCCTGTCATCCCAGTTATGTGGGAGGCTGAGATTAGGAGGATCAAAGTTCCAGACCAGCTGGGGCAAAAAAAGTTCCCAAGACCCAATCTCAACAGAAAAAGCTAGGTGTGGTGGTGCATGATGTCATGCCAGCTGCAGCAGGAAGCTAAAATAGGAGGATCATGGTCCAGACCTACAGAGCCAAAACACAAGACACTATCTCAAAACTAACCAGAGCAAAAAGGGCTGGAGGCATGGCTCAAGCAGTAGAGTGCCTGCCTCATAAGTGGGAAGCCCTTAGTTCAAACCCCAGTACTGCAAAAGCAAAACAAAACACAACACAACTATTTGTAATAAAATTATGTGAACAGCTGACAACTGTATTAATAGAAACTGTTATTGCTAACTTATTTTCCTGGAATAAAACTACCTTTCAAGAATGTAGCCTGGGCCAGGCACTGGGTGGCTCATGCCTACAATCCCTGCTACTCAGGAGGCAGAGATCAGGATGATGGAGGTTAGAAAAGCCATGGACAAATAGTTGCAAGACCCTATCTTGAAAATATCCAACACAAAAAAAGGGCTGGCAGAGTGGCTCAAGTGGTAAGAGTGCCTGCCTAGCAAGCAGAAGTCCCTGAATTCAAGCCCTGGTGCCACAAACAACAACAACAAAAAAGGGTATGACCTGGACTTCAACAGATATTTTTACACTCGATATTCAAGAGGCATTATTCATAATATCAAAAAGGAAGAAACAACCCAAAAGCCCTTCGATAGATGAATGGAAAAAATTTGATATATGTGTGTATATTATTGAAATATTATTCAGACTTAAACAGAAATTCTGATCTATTAAAACATGGATTAACCTTAAGGACATTATACTAAATGAAATAAATCAAATACAAAAGGACAAATATTGCATGATTCTACTTCCCTGAGGTACCTAGAGTAGTCAAATTCATACAGAAAGTAGAACTGTAGTTGCCAGCAACTGGTGGGAAAGAGGAATGGGAAGTTGTTGTCCAGTGGGCACAGTTTCAGTTTGGGAGGATAGAAAAGTTCTGCAGATTATGGTGGTAATGGTTGCAAAATAATGTGAATGTGTATGTACATTTAAAAATGGTTGCAGTTATAAATTCTATCTTGTGTATATTTACAGAATTAAAAGTTGTCTCCTTCCTTCCTTCCTCCCTCCTCTCTTCCCTCCCTCATTTCCTTCCATCCACCCATCTGGCTGCACTGGAGTTTGAACTCAGGGCCTCGAGCCTGCTAGGCAAGTGCTTTACTGCTTGAGCCATAACCCCATACCTTTCTGCTTTGGTTATTTTTGAAATAGGGTGCCAAGTTTTTTGCCTGAACTGGCCTTAAATTGTGATCCTCTCAATTTTCACCTTTAAGTAGCCAAAAGAACAGTTATAAGCCAACATGCCCAGCCAGGTTCCTTCATAATCTTGAATATGATTGCATAAACAATTTTCACAGTACTTATAAACCTGTTTAATAGGGAGGATGTGTGTCAGTGATTCATCAGTTGTTGGAAACTTCTTTACCTGAGCTGTCTACACTATAGGCATAATACACTGATGTGTTTTGGGATTTATCCCTCCTGGTGAACTTAAATCTTAGCTGTAATATTTTTGGCAGAGTTTGGGCATTTGGAATGACCCTGAGTAAGGGTTTTCCTTCTTTCAGGTACTAATGGCGCCTTAAAAAGTTTATAGAAAGTTATACTGTCTCTTCAGTTCCTTCCCTGTGCTCCTACCCCTTTTTTTGTTGTTATTTGCTTTTTTTTTTCCCTAAAGTTTAGACTTTTTTGTGGAACTGGTATTTGAACTCAGGGCCTCATGCTTGCTGAGCAGGTGCCCTACCACTTGAACCACTCCTACAGGCCCCATCCCTTTGTTTTGACATGGCTGTCCTTGGATTCCTGGCCTCAAATGATCCTCCCAATGCACCCAGCTTTCAGTTGCTCTTTCACAGTGAATTGTGCAAAGGAACTAGAGCTGTCTTTGAAATTCCTTTCTTTGTATCATATTCTCTTTCTACTTTTAATTGTGTAAATATACACAAGATAGAATTTACAACTGCAACCATTTTTTTTATCTCTTTTATTCATATGTGCATACAATGTTTGGGTCATTTCTCCCCCTTCCCCACCTCCTCCCTCACCCCCCCACCCCGGCCCTTCCCTCTCCCCCTCTACCCCCTTGCTACCCGGCAGAAACTATTTTGCCCTTATCTCTAATTTTGTTGAAGAAAGAGTATAAGCAATAATAGGAAGGAACAAGGGTTTTTGCTAGTTGAGATAAGGATAGCTACACAGGGAGTTGACTCACATTAATTTCCTGTGCATGTATGTTACCTTCTAGGTTAATTCTTCTTGAGCTAACCTTTTCTCTAGTTCCTGGTCCCCTTCTTATTTTGCAACCATTATCACCATCTGTAGAACTTTCATCTTCCCAAACTGAAACTGTACCCACTGGACAACAACTTCCCATTCCTCTCCCCCACTAGTTGTTGGCAACCACAATTCTACTTTCTGTATGAATCTGACTACTCAAAGTACCTCAGGGAAGTAGAATCATGCAATATTTGTCCTCACAATCAACACACAGGTAGACTATATAAGGGAACCTGGGATCTTTGCTACTCCATCTCTCACATTCAAGAACTAGAACAAGACATTAAGTACCATCTATCTGTAATACTAACCAAAGTGACAAACTTAGTCTCTGATATGAATGCAATGTGCTTTTAAAAAGTAACTGTGGTGTATTTAAAAACAAAACAAAACCAGGCACGGTGGCACACACATATATCCCAGCTACTTGGGAGGCTGTGGCAGGAGGATCACTCCAGCCCAGGGGCTCAGGCCAGCCATTGCTGTGAAATCCTGTCTCAAAACCAAAAACAAACAAACAAACAAAAAAAAGAGGTAAAATCTTGATTTCAGTAACACCCCTCCACCCTTTCTCTCCTTTTTTGAAAATGGGATAAGAGTATAGAAAAGAAAGGGTAGCCAAGAAAAAAAAAAAAAATTCAGTCACTCCGTCACTGCTTGATGTAAATAAATTTTTACCTGATTGTTGGAATCTCCAAAAAGGACACACAAATGTGGTACCAGTTTACTGACGAGTAGTGATTGAGTCCCAAAACTAAATATAATTTAAGAAAATAAAAGAGAAACTGGTTTCAATTAAGTGGTAAACAAAATATTCATATCAATTTTGACAATTATGGTAGAAAGGATAGGCACACATCATTAAAAAACATGAAGGATATAAGAAACAAGCAAAAAATAATTCTAAACAAATGAAATTTGCAATCTTGAATGATTATTACTAATACTGATAACTGTCAACACATGACCCAACAGAGCAGAACTCTCAACGAAGGGCACTCTTAAACCTCACAACCTACAAATCACTTAAATGAGAACATTCACTTTTGAAACAGTGATTTTTTTAGACTCTAGGTCTAATCCAATGAAGTAAGTAAATTAAGAGATCTTTTTTGTGCTCATTGATATTTTGATAGGGTCACAGGTTGAAAGTAAATGACAGGAGATTCAAACCACAAAGACTGTGCAGACTAAATGCACTTACAAGCTCTAAGTGGCAGAAAGGACCATAGAGCAGCAAAAGAAAATAAATAAAAGTACAGTTAAGAGGAAGTAATGCCACAGGAAAAGATGAATGCTACTACACAACACCTATTACACTTCATGGAACCTAAAAAACAGTCCAGAATAAGAAAAGTCCAGTTTATTTCTTTACCTAGAGTCATAGCCCTGTGACATTTATGCTATCAGAACTCTATGCACTGTGACCAGACTTTCTGTCTAGTGACCTGGCTGAATCCTACTTGGTGTGGGAATTTGCAACCACCCACGGTGCTCCAGGAAGCATAGCGTTAACTGGCCAAAGGGTGTTGGGAGGACATGGCTACAATATGTGAAAGACCCCTGAGTTCAAAACAATGCCAAATTGGATCTAGAACAAAAATCGATCCTAAGTTGTTAGCATATCTGTTCTATGACAATCAGTTTTGAGTTACTATTAGCATACTAAAGAAAAAAAGAGAAACACTTTTTACCACTGGTAATTTAAAACTTAACAACATGAAAGATATCCAAACAATTGACAATGAAAATATCAATACTTTCTGTGCTGGAGATCAATTAATAACAACTTAAGATTTATTTCCAAAGCTTTCCTTGACCTTGTGCAATGGGATTTTTGTTCTGAGAAATGAAAAGCATAATACTGTTTTCAATAAAAACAAAACTTACGTATTTAAGGTTTCAATGAGACACAGACACACGCCTTCTCGAGATCGAAAATTCTTATGCTTAAAACCAGAAGCCAATTGTTCCCAAACGTACTATTTGAAAGAAAAGTAAACATATATAACAAAAACTTATGTAAATTAAATATTTTAATTCTTTCTAGCCTTATAACCAAGTTCATTGGTAACTTCATTTTTTTCTTCAGACTGTTTACTTCCCTATATAGGCCAACTACCTCTTATCCAAATTGCTTGGGACTAGAAGCACTTCAGATTTTGGAATATTTACATTTACATAGTAAGATATCATGAGGATGGGGCTTATCCCTAAACACAGAACCCACTTATACTTCATATTATACTTCATATATAACCCTAAAGGTTATTCCATTTATTTTTTAAAATTTGTTTTGGCAGTACTCATGTCTGAGGCTCAGGGCCAAGAGCTCTACACTTGAGTCAAACCCCCAGCATTTTTTACTTTAGTTAGTTTTTAGTTGAGTCCCATTTTTTTTTTGCACTGGACAGCCTGGGACCACAATCCTCCTATGCCTCCGACATGGCTAGGATTACAGACATGCTTTACCATACCCAATTTGTTTGCTGAGCTGGGTCTTGCTAACTTTTTGCCCAGGCTGCAGCAAATCATGATCTTCCCAATCTCCACCTCCTTAGTAGCCTGAAAGTTATCTTATACAATATATATTTTTAGTACATTTGAATTTTGTCTGTAGCCTGTCGCATGAGGTCAGGTGTGGAATTTTCCACTTGTGTGGTTATGTCAATGCTCAAACAGCTTTGGGTTCTGGAAGCTGGTCATGGTGGCATGCACACAAAATCTCACCACTCAGGAGGCTAAGGCAGATTGATTAAGAGTTCTAGGCTAGCCTGGGCTACATAAAAAACCTGATCTAAAACAACAACAAAAAAAAGTCCTGGTATTTCATGCCTGTGGCAACTTCAGAGGTCCAGACAGGAGACTTACAATTCAAAGCCAACCTGGTCAAAGATGGTGCAAAACCTTATCTGAAAAACAAACTAGAATCAGGCAGGACAGCACACCCCTATAATCTAGGCACTTTAGAGTGGAGCTCAGGAGTTTGAAGCCAGTCAGGGAAAAAGGTTCATGAGACCCCATTTCAAAAACAAACAAACAAAAAAAAGTTGGGCATGGTGATGGACATCTGTCATCCCAGCCACTCAGGAAGTATAAATAGGAGGATCACAGTCCAGTCTGGCCTGGGCACAAACATGAGACACTATTAAAAAAAATAACTAAAAGAGAAAGGGCTGGGGGTAAGGCTCAAGTGGTAGAATGTCTATTTAGTTCATACTCCAGAACCCCCCCAGAAAAAAAATTCTTCAATAGGATTAGATTCAGCAACATCTCTGGAACTCCATTCTATAAAAATACTTACATTTATGTCCAAAGATAGAAGTACAAAGATGTGTTACAGTACTCTTTGTAATAACAAAAACCCAAGAACAATTTAAAATGTAAATTAATAAGGAATATCAACCAAAGTATTAACAGAGATTTTGTTCTAAGGTACAAAATATCTGGGAATGCAGTTTACTTTTACAATTCAGTACTCCTCGCATTTTTTACTAAACATATGTGACATTATAATTTCAAACTGCATTTTAAGTATATGAGATTGCTATGCACAGACATGTTCTGGTTTGGTTTTTTTTTTCTACTTATACTACTTTCTCAATCTCTGTTTACACATCAATTTATTTTTACTCTCCTTTCAAAATACCTCCATGCTGTGGCTTGTGCCCCCAGGATTCATGTGTTAGAGGCCTCATCCTCAGTGTAATGTGGGTTTAAGGTGGTAGGACCTTTTAAGAGGCAGGGCCTAGTGAGATATCAAGACTGGCCACTCCCTATTGCTCTAGGCTCTGTCTCACCATGTGATCAACTCAGATGCAGGCAAGGGTTCCTCCCCTTATGGTGCCATCTACCATACTGTGTTGCGTCTAGGCGGGCCCATGCCAGAGATGGTGCTCTGCTGTTTGGACTTTCCATCTCCAAAACTATAAGCTAAATAGATCATTCACTACAAGTATCCAGTCCCATATATTTTGTTAAAAGTAACAAAAAATGAACTGATACATTCTATCAGGGCAAATGATTTCTACTGTATTCACAAAACACAGGTTTCTGTCATAGAATATATGCCTTATAAAACTAGTAACCACCTATTAAAAGAATTTCTTAATGTCTCTGTAAGAGTTGCAGAAATTAATAAAACATTGAGTTTTCAAAATAAGATTTCTCAACTCAACATTTTATAATTTGCAAGCAAGGAAAACCAGAAAATTGTAAAAAGTATTAATACAGTCAGTATATTGTCAAATCACTTAAATCTATGATTCCAGGGGGGTTTTTTTAACATACAGAATAGAAAATAATAAAAGAAAAAAAATTAAATATTGACACTGCACCTTAGATTTTAACTTCTTTAAAACATTAGCAACAATATCTAAAAATTCCAGTATTCATGCCGCCTGAAGCCTTACTAACTTGCTATGATTACAATCTATCTTTACTGATAGTTCACCATCAATTAGAAAAGTTTAAATTTTAAAATGTAGGCCTACCATAGGTGATGCTACTTCATCCATTAACTTCAATGTCAGAGTCTGAGCTTCTTCTCGAACTTTGTCTTTGGCATCTCCCATTCTGTCTATTAAAGCTACAATAACTAAATGGGCGGGGAGGGGAAAGAACAGTAAATATATATAACTCAGCTCCATTACAAACTATATTATACAAAACTACAAACAACATTGTTTCCATAAATGAAGAGTTATGAGAAGAAACTGTATTACGTTCCTTATTCATAAGTCCAGTAAAAAATAACTGAGAAGCAAATTTAAACATAGTATATGCAACATGAAATCCACCTAGGGTAGTGTTCAAGAAACAGCCAAAAAAATAATATTCTTCTTAAAAATATGTATAAATGGTCAAGCTCTACAGACAAGCCAGGGAATGTTTATTTCCAATAGTCAAAACGGGAAACCTCTGGTAGTGGGAGGAAGAGGCGCCATCAGAAAATGCAGGGAGGGAAAGTTTAAAGAACTGGCCATTTTAGTTTCTTAACTCAGGCATAGCCAGGTGTGTTGGGTTTTGTATGGATGACCTATTCCACAACTGACAAAGAGAAACAAAAAACATAGGCCCCTGGGATGGGACTGAGGGTTTTTTCTATCATGTCCTAGACTTTGGCACCATTCCTTGAAAAGTGGCAGGAAAGGCAGGTAAAGTCCATTCTTGGACAGTTTTCATGATCAAGATTGTTGTAACTAAAATTAGAAATAAGGGCAAAATAGTTTCTGCTGGGTACTGAGTGGGGGGGAGAGGGAGGGGGCAGACTGGGTGGTAAGGAAGGGGGTGGGGGCAGGGGGGAGAAATGAACCAAGCCTTGTATGCACATATGAATAATAAAAGAAAAATGAAAAAAAAAAAAAAAAGATTGTTGTAACTATAAATCAACAATGCACCACAAAAAAAATCACATCCTATATGGGGAAGAAGGTAGAGTTCAGCGGGAACAGGTTCTAAAGTCACTTCACAGGCAAAAATCTCAGTTAAAAATATCCTTCTGTGTTGCTTCAAATTTCCTCTATCATTTGGTATAGTGGTACCAGGCATGTGAGCTTGAATATATTATTTAACAGCTTTTTGTCTATTTCCTCACATATAAATCGTGGGTGGCAGTACTCACCCCAGAGAATTATTGAAAATTAAAAAGTAATACAGGTAAACAGTTGAGAAAGTGAAGGGCACAGAGCAAGCTCTATCATATGTCACCTACTATCACTATTATCATCTTCCATTTTTTTTTAATTTTTATTTTATTCATATGTGCATACAATGTTTGGGTCATTTCTCCCCTTTCCCCCATCCCTTCCCTTACCCCCTCCTCCCCCCCACCCCCTCACTACCCGGCAGAAACTATTTTGCCCTTATTTCTAATTTTGTTGAAGAGAGAGTATAAGTAATAATAGGAAGGACCAAGGGTTTTTGCTAGTTGAGATAAGGATAGCTATAAAGAGAGTTGACTCGCATTGATTTCCTGTGCGTGTGTGTTACCATCTAAGTTAAGTCTTCTTGAACTAACCTTTTCTCTAGTTCCTGGTCCCTGTCTTCCTATTGGCCTCAGTTGCTGTTAAAGTATCTGCTTTAGTTTCTCTGCGTTGAGGGGCAACAATCTTATCTAGTTTTTTAGGTGTCTTACCTATCCTCATACCTCCCTTGTGTGCTTATCATCTTCCAGGTTCACATGCAAAGAAATTTTTTGTTTCTCTGGCATTACAGTTAAATGGCCTTCCTTTCTCTTGAAGCAATGGAAGC